CTTCAATGGTTGGTCTCCACAACCAGGATGAAAATCCTTGTCCTGGCCATTAGTCGGACATGATGACTGCGACACGAGATCATGTACCCCTTCGTGAAGGCAATGCTGTGGAAGAAGTCAACTTAGTCATATGTGTTTTATTCATATCTATGTAAAGGTTCGAGCATGATTGTGTTTGTTATGTACTCTGCATCATAGTTAATGGTTTGTGTGTGTCATAATGATGCAGAGGCTGGGGGTTCCAACCTCCTTTTCAAAAAAGAGAAAAACAATCACTTGACACATGCACCATGTTTGTTTTAAACTATGGGTCCATGATTGACTTTAAAACTTCTCTTGAGACTAAATAACTCCTAATATCTTGGATAACAAAGCGAACAACAAAACAAAGCACACTACATGATAGGGCATACCTCCTTTCATGGAATAAGAAACCGAGAAGCGGTAAAAGGTGCCGATGCTCTTTGTCCATCAGAAGTGGTAGTTGTGCACGTATAAAAGAGAAGAGGATAAAAAGTGAACTCCAAACCCCAAATATGAAACATTTTTTTGATAAAGGTGTTATTTATTAATTCATAATGAAGAACCAAGGGGATACAAATGCAATGGAAAAGCATCTGGCCTCTAAATAACTAGGGTTCACACAACGAACACCAACACACGCACAAAGGGTCATTCTGACAAAAAGCAAAGTCAAACATGACTAAAGCTATGCCAGGAGAAAGAAATACAAAAAGAATAGAGAAAAAGAGAAGCATTGATCCTCGCCGATCAGTTGTTGAGAGATGATGCAAGTGCGCATGATCTAAACATTGGTCCAGCAAAGTGACAGAAAATAGTGCACACACGAGAACAAGCAGCCAGTGGCAATAGCCGTTTGTGGAGCCAATACAAAACAAGTTGTCGGGCGAGAGAAGATAGAACCACCAAAATCTCACATTTGAGACATTTCGGTGGTCCCTCGCCTACCGAAAAAGGCTTTCGCCCCGCTTTATAAATAAAGCAACCACCAGGCACAAAGTATCAAGATAACAACTAAACACACCACACACCAACACAACATCACCGCAGGCAGGGTCCAACACTCACACACACACACAAACAAACAGACCCAAGTTCAGCTGTGGGCACAACACAACAATCCCAACACCGAATCATGATGAAACAACACATAGGTGGCAGTGGCGGAGGCGAGATGACGACGATCTAATCTGGTTCTAGTGGTGGCGGGGGAAGCGGTGGAGCCATCCGAAGAGCCATCGCGTGAAGCTGGGTGATGATGGAGGTGATGGCATCTCTTTCCCTGGGATGGCTAAGCGGCTGCCAAAGCTGCAAGTAGCCAGACCATTTGAACAAAGCGTTAGTAGCACGACGAAGAGGAACACACTGAATCACAAGTTTATTCCTAACAGTCCACAACGTCCAGGCAAGAACCCCAATGGCTAGCCACCTAATGTGGCGCACCGCAGGTGGGATCGCCTGGAGTTCGGCGAAGAGAGTGGGGAAGTTGCTGTGGTCCCAGCTTCCACCCACTATCTTGCGGAAACAGTTCCATAGGAACTGCGTGGACACGCAGGAGAAGAAGATATGGTTTGAATCTTCTTCAGGCCCGCAAAGCGGGGCGACGCCCATCACCAGGGCCATTGCACTTCAGGACCTCCACGCCGGACAGGAGCCGACCGTGAATCCATTGCCACAAGAATATCCTAATTTTCAGAGGGAGGCGAATCTCCCAGATGGAGGTGAGCGCCTCATGGCCAAGCGAGGGGGCGATGGCCTGGTAGAGAGATTTAGTGGAGAATTGCCCAGAAGGCTCTAGCCGCCATCTGGATCGGTTGTCTCCAGTCGTGAGATCAGGCTCGTGTAAAGCAATGCAGTCAAGTAGCTCCTGCCAGTCCGCGTTCTCAGCCGGGCCAAAAGGTCTCCAAAACGCGAGTTGCCCCAAGTCAATAAGGGCAGTCACGATAGATATCTGCCGGGCAGCCGCGATGGAGAACAGGTCAGGAAAGAGGGCCGCGAGGGGCATGTCTCCAGTCCATCTATCGAACCAGAACAGCGTGGCGGTGCCGGATCCTACCTCAATCGAGGTCCCGATCCGGAGGACTGGGAGGAGCTGGATGATGGATTGCCAGAACTAGGAGCCTCCAGACCGCTGGCAGAAGACGAGAGGCTGGCCGCGGAGGTATTTCTGCTGAATGATGCGAAGCCACATGCCACCATCGCCGTTGGCAATCCGCTAGAGCCACCGAGTCAGGTGGGCAATGTTCATGCGTTTAGAGGACATGATCCCGAGTCTGCCCTGGCCGCGAGGTTTGCAGATCTCTGACCACCGAACCATGTGGTACTTCTGTTTATCGCCCTCGTCGGCCCAGAAGAATCACCCCTGAACAGTGGCAATCTCGTGATGAAGAGTCTCCGGAAGGCTGTAGAAGCTCATGATGAGTAAGGGGCAGTTCTTTTGCGCGGCTTAAAAAATAAGCTACCTCTCCCCAGCTTAAAAAATATGCCGTGTCTATTTTTTCTGAGACTTCTAAGTTAGTTATTCCATAACTAGTTTAGAAGCCCCAATAAGTATAAGATGTGGCTTATGAGAAAAGCTAGGGAGAGGCGGCTTATTTTTTAAGCCGCCCAAAAGAACCGGCCCTAAGAGTAGGCTGGAGAGGGATGAGTTAATGAGCACTGTACGGGTTGCTTTCGAGAGCCACCGACCCTGCCAGGGCTCGATACGGTGCTGAAGCTTCCCCACCGTCGGGCGCAGCTCGGCCACCGTGAGCCTGGAGTCACTAACGGGCATCCCCAGATAGGTCGTGGGGAAGCACCCAAGCTGGAAGTTAAGCCAATCCGCTATGCTCTATCGCTCGTCCTGGGAGTAGCCCAAGACCATCACCGCACTCTTGTCAAAGTTGATCCTGAGGCCAGACATCTGCTGGAAGCACGACAAAAGGAACTTGAGGTTCGTGATATCGCTCGCCGAGCCTTCCACCATGATAATGGTGTCATCCGCATATTGGAGAAGGAAGATCCCGTTCCCCCCAACAAGGTGCGGGACTATACCCTTAATGTGACCCGCAACCTTGGCTTTATCTGGAATGGTCGCCAGCGCATCGACAACCGTGTTAAACAGGAACAGGGAGAAGGGATCGCCCTGGCGCACCCCACAGAATGTGGGGAAGAATGGGCCAGTCTCCCCATTAATGTTCACCGCGGTTCGACCCGAGGATACCATCTGCATCACCCTGGTCACCTACCTGTTGAAGCCCTTATGGAGCAGACATTCCCGAAGGAAGGGCCAACTAACCGTGTCATAAGCCTTGTGGAAGTCCAGTTTCAGGAAGACTGCCTTGAGGTGTTTGGTGTGAACCTCATGGAGTGCTTCGTGGAACACCAGGACTCCGTCGAGGATATAACGACCCTGGATGAAGGCCGACTGGTCAGGGTGAGTGATCCGATCGGTGATAGGGGCCACCCTAATGGTGTACCCCTTCGCGAGGATGCGGAAGATGACGTTAATCACCATAATCGGTCGGAATTGTCGGATATCCAAGGCCCGAGTCACTTTGGGGATGAGGGTGATTACCCCAAAGTTCAGCCGGGCGAGGTCGATGGATCCAACAAAGAACTCGTCAAATAAGGCCACCACCTCAGGTTTGATCACCTCCCAGAACGTCTGGAAGAACTTCACTGGGAGACCATCCGGGCCGGGGGCCGAGGATGGGTTCATGAGGGAATTGGCGCCCAAACTTCAGCCTCAGAGAACGGGGCCGTGAGGGCCGCGTTATCCGCAGGCGAGACGCAACTGTGGGCAGGCCAACCGTCTTCTACAGAGAGACCAATTCTCTGCCTCCCCTCGGGGAGGTCTTGCCCTTGGTCCCTCGCCTATGAAGCAAGTGTATCCCGATGGTAAATTCGGGCATTGCCAATGTCCCCCAAACAACACACCACAATACGTCACTGCATCGCCATGGCATCAAACGACCATCATGAACTTCGTCGAGTAGCCACGACATGTGCATTCACACAATCAACACTACCACCGTGCACCACCTCCAGAAAGCCACACTATAGCAGAGAATCGCCGTTGGACACTGCTCCATGCCTCAACCACAAACTAGAGAGAGAAGGAAGTGACAGTTACAATGCAAACCTCCTACAAAACATGGGGCCCTACAACCAAGACCATCTCTAAAACGATGCCCCGAGGAGAGTACATGACACAGATGACGTCATCGTCCGATCCGAGGTAACCCGGACCTAGGGTTTCCCTCTTGAGCAAAAGGGGATTGGAGGAGAGAAAGACATCTTTGACGCCTAAATCGGGTAATAGCGCCTGCATGCCGCCTTCATCGGCTTTCACCGATGTACTCACCACCCAAACATGAAACAAATAGAAACTTGTTGGGCTCCCAATCTTTGCAGGGCGACAAAAACCTACTCATTTTGAGCCCCATTTCTATTCTTGGACATTATATGCTTTCTTAAATTCACGAAAAAGAAACAATCCAAAACAAAATAAAATATTGTTTTATAAGGAATTTGACCCCTTTCTTCAAAATTTGAGAAAGTAAAAACAAATCCACCTGTCAAACAAACATCTCAGAAATATGCTACTTAGACTCATCTGATCTTTAACTGCTCCATCCGATCCAAATTATTTTTGTCAATTAATTTGGTTCGGAGGTAGTACTTTATTTATATAGAGGGGTGATCTTTTGATAGAACGCAAAAAGTAGGTAAATAAGTTTTAAATGTACGGTTATGGAGGGGATCTTATTTTAGAGCCAAAGGGGAAATATCCAGCCGTCACAAGAAAAGTCACACACGATCAGATCAAGTCATGTTCACTTGTTAACCAAAAGCCAACACATCTAGGTCACCGCTTGCAAGAATAGATCCATATAAGCAGAAAAGCAAAGGAAGAAGCGCCCATTCCTTTTTGGGAAGGTTCTCACAGCAGATTAGAGGAATCACCAATCCAGGGGAAGTAGTAGGAGGAGGAGGAGATGGAGGAGAGGGGGAAGGTGGTGTGCATGGCGAAGCTGGCCGAGCAGGCGGGGAGATACGATGGTATGGCGGAGAGATCCCTCGCTTGGTTTGTTTGCGCTTGCTCCTTGGCCCTGCTTATGTGCACTGTTTTTGTTCTCGGTGCTTTGCATTTCGGGTCGATCGCTGACAAATTCTTGTGGGAATGGAGGGGGGAAGTTGGGGGTTCTTGGTTCCTGTGCCCGCTGGAACCTTTGCCCTGCGATTCCTTGTTCGATTTGCTTAGTTTCTCGAGCAGTAGCCTGCAGACCATGTCGGCCATTTTTTTTTTCATTTCTGCTGTCCATGTGCAAAATGAGCAGTTGATCGCAAACGTTGTGTGGTGATTATTATTCCGGGCTGATTTTGTTTTTGGTGATTTTAGGGCCGTCTAGCTGCCCCAGTTTGATAGGAATCATTTTTCATGATTATTTGGGCCCGATCTTGGCAAATTTGAGTGCTTGATGGTTGTGGGGGTCTGATTCTATACTTTGAGGGGCCCTGACCATGAGTTGCTTCCTGCTGTTTCATGATGTTCCACTGAGAAAAAGAAGGATCTTCGGATCATCGACGATGCATTCCATGTTTGAACTATTGAACTTCCCTAGTGTGGAAGATGTGGAACTGTGTATTCCATGTTTGTAATAGTGTAAAAGGTTGTGTTTTTTCTTTTATGGTTGGACTGGATTGATCTTGATGCTGATGTATATTGATTTTTTTTGGCAATTTGGTCACCATTAAATGCTTATGTCTTCTAACTTCCGAGTCCTATATGCAAAGTAGTACTAAGTCACCATCACATTGTGTTGTGCAGGGACCTCTTTACCCTTCCAGTTCATTTTGTTGACAACTTGACATAGCATCTAAAACTGGGTCTTGGCATGAGATATAGGAAACTCCCTAATTGATTGACCTAATTTATGTGATGAAATCATGAGCATTGTTCTAGCATTATAGGCTTCCACATTCCCTGATTTCTCGCAGATGGTGGTAGACAACATCATGTTCCCCCTTTGCTTGCAACTCTTGTTAACATGTGACTCCTGGCTCTCAGAAACTAGTTTTTTTTTCTTTCAGTAAGGTGATAGCCCCGCCGTTGCATCGGTTGATGCTCCCAGAAACTAGTTTGTGGGTGCTATGCAGTTATTCTTCTGGTTTGGATGTCTCGTTTTGGGAGAACTTTCTTGTCCGCCTTTTCTATACACAACTTTTGAAGTAATTCATACAGCCAGTTGGGCTGGAAAAGAATTGCTTTTGAATTCTGTTTGTTCCTCCAAAATCTAACAGATAACTTTCATAACTCTTGAGTTTCCATGAAGTTAGTATCAACTCTTAATTCATGGTTGTTCCTGCAGATATGGTGGATTTTATGAAGAAGCTTGCTAGGATGGATGTGGATATGAGCGTTGAAGAGAGGCATTTATTTTCAGTTGGTTTTAAGAATACAATTGGTGCAAGGAGGGCATCATGGAGAATCCTTTCTTCACTTGAGCAAAAGGTGGCAGCGGGTGAGCAGGCTGGCCGGATGATAAGTGTCTACAGAACGAAAGTTGAGGATGAACTAAGGATGGTTTGCAATGAAATATTGTCAATCATCGCTATTCATTGCCTTCCCTTGGCTAATGCGGGTGAAAACGTTGTGTTCTTTCATAAAATGTATGTGCAGGTTCATAAATTTAGCTCTTCTTTTCACAATCGTCTATTGCTTCTCTATGTTGGTCTATTTTCTGGTCATTACATTCAGAGTTCACATGATACTTATATATCCATGTTTTCCTTATCCGGTTTGTACATGCCTAACTTTAAAATTCCAATTATTGACAGGAAAGGTGACTACTACCGTTACCTGGCTGAATTTAGCACTGGGGTTGAAAAGAAGTCTGCTGCTGACCAATCACTCATGGCCTATCAGGTGTGAAACCTTTCAACACGTACACATGTTCTAACTTACTTCTGGTTCTAAGGCTCGCATTCCACCTCTGACAATCTTCTAGCAAATGTTGCTGCAGCATGCCATGGTTGTTGCCTCCACCGAGCTTTCGCCTGCTCATCCAATCAGGCTTGGCCTTGCGCTCAATTTCTCAGTGTTCTTTTATGACATAATGAACTGTCATCAGAGGTCATTCACCCTTAAATGACTCCTTTCGCCCTTTGTTCTGATGTTTTGTAGTTTAAAATAGATATCGTAATTCATCATGCTTCTCTTTTTAAAATAAATAAATAAAATGGGCAGACCTACCAGGAGGCTACTAAGTTCAGATGAACCCATCACATCTTGTAGCCACTTCGTTTAGTAGGTTATATGTTTGCTGTAATCTTCTCCAAATGTAGAGAATCATGATTCCTCAAAATCTTTATTTTTAGAAAATGGAAGCTTTATTACCCCTGGCCTCTGCATCTGAAGATGCATATAGCCAACCTTATTAACTATATTGATACTTATAATTTACATAGTTAAATCCCATAAATGCAATGTTAAATAGTTAAATCCCATAAATGCAATGTTAAATAGTTAAATCCATTGACAGTTTGACCCCATTATCGAAACTTTTCTGGGTTTCCCCTTGGTTTAGAAGATACGGAGATGAATATTCATTATTCGTGATTCTGCATTTGGTACCATGGCAGCTTGCTTGTCATCCCAGCATGCTAGTTTGCACAGGTCTTCGAAAAAAATGAAAGTGGCAACCTTACTCTGGGTGTTCATGTTTGTTTCTCTTCTCAGAGCTTGCCAAGTTGCAAAACAAGCATTTGATGAGGCTACTACTGAGATTAATTCCGCTGGTATGGATGGCAACAACGATAGCACACTAATGATGCAGCTTCTGAACGACAACCTAGCATTGTGGAAGTCAGAACTAACTGAAGGTAAAGCCATCAAAACTTTTTCTCAGGAATCTACTACTTTACCCCTTGTTGCTCTATAGCGGCTATAATGAGCTTAAATTGTCACATCTTACATTGTTAGGTAAAAATATGATGAATCAGTCATTGGTATAGGGGATCGATTAATCAATGGATAGCTAGTCAGGCATGGGTGTGCGCCTCCGCGGCGAGGCTGCTAGGGTCATGTGTCTCTAGAAGGATGGGAATTTACGCTAGATGGTCTGCACTGCCTCGCTCGTTTATTGTTGGGCTGGCCGGTGTCCAGCTCCAAAACTTACCGGTGCCTAGCCCAAAAATCTGGACTATATAAGGCACGCACGAATTTTATTCGGGGTGTAGTGACATCGGATGACCTAACATAGGTTGGATGACCTAACATAGGTCCACCCTGCATCCCTTCCAGGTAAACACCATGAACTTGGAGGGGAAGAAAATGTTAGTTCGGCTTAACATAGCTGAATCTGCTAATAAAGATAATGTGGTTATTGGTGAACCCGGGAAAAGCTAAGAGGGCGACGAGGTCTTGGGAAGAGAGATTGTGCTTGATAAGCAATTCGATGGCAAGGCGACATTGAAGATCACCATCAAGAATCCTACAC